CAACTGTTACTCAGGGATTTCTAACTCAAGGAAGGGAAACACTGCTAGAAGCAAAGGCATAGTCTCAGGAAAGTTACAATATATTTGAAAGATATTTTTAAATTTATTTATTAGAGAGAGCACGAGCTGAGGGGGAGTGAGAAGCAGACTCCCCAATGAGTGGAGAGCCTGGGGTCTTGACCCCAGGACCTGGAGATAATACCTGAGCCAAGGGCGGACACTTAACCAATTGAGCCAGCCAGGCACCCCACAAGTATATTTGAAGGAACATGAGGAGGCCAGTTTGATTATAGAGATTTCACATATAAAAGCAGAGATAAAGTTCTGATTTATATACTCTATATAGGAAGCCATTGGAAATTTCTTCATTGTGCTATCTTTTAATAAAAGCTATGTTTAATCTGATAGTGACATGCAAAATAAACTGAAGAAGTAGGAACAGAGGCAGAGAGACCCACTGGGAATGTATAGTCATTGACCAAATAGGAGTTGTTGATGACAGGCATCATAGTGTAATGAAAACAATGCTGACATTAGATCACAGGACTTGTAATTACTGGTCCTGTCATCTTGGGCAAGTCATTTAACCTGTCTGATTCTGCTTATTTACATGCCCATCACTTTAGAGGCCTTTAAAAAAATAATGAAATGCTAATAATTTTTGCTTAACTCACAGAGTGGTTATACAAATATAATGATAAGAATATTTTTTAAATGTATATTATAAAATTTAAGGTGTGATATGCATTTGAAGATCCAAAGAAGTAAAAATGGAGACTGGTAAGGAATGAGAAGGGTGAAAGAAAAAAATGAATCCTAGTGACTGGAAAATAGAGTCACTTAAATCAGTCAATCAGGAGAGGAACTGATTTGGGAGATCAGGACAAAGGTTAGGGAGAAAACAGTGATTTATTTCATTTTAATTGTAATTGTGGAAATGTTCAGCAGGCAGGTCTCTTATTACATCTATTAGTTTCATATATTCTTACATATTTTCATGTGAGATGATTCAATCTCCTTTATAAAATTTTAAGTTTTGAGAGAGAGGTTATCTCCTTGGGCATATATATTTCCTCATTTTTAATTTAAAAAATAAAGCCTGTACCTGCTGATTTGATAAAAGTTCCACCTATTTTGTCCATTTTATTAGTAAAGCGATTACATGGGCATTGACTGATTAAAAGATTATTTGTTCCCTCTAATACTAAATTGATATTCTTCAGTACGCATCACTCTAAACAGTTACCACTATTAGTACTTTAGGGTACTAGTATCTTACTAAAAATCAAGCAAACATCTTAACTTCTATTTGAATTTCATGTGAGACATAATAAGTGTCTTATTGAAAGTCATAGGCATGATCAGGGCACCTGGATGGCTCAGTCAGTTAAGTGTCCAACTCTTGGTTTCAGCTCAGGTCATGATCTCAGGGTCACGAGATCAAGCACCACGTCAGGCTCTGTGCTCAGGGGGGAGTCCACTTGGGATTCCCTCCCTCCCTCTCCTTCTGCCCCCCCCACATGTACTCCCTCAAATAAATCTTTAAAAAAAAGGAAAAAGTTAGGTTCATGGTGTATGTTTCTTTTATATTTTAAATGTATATGCCTATATTGCCTTTTTAATTTAGACCATGAACTTTAAAATGGTTTCTTTTCCTTTTAAAATGCTTAGTTTCTCCTAGTTTTTAAAATTAAATCATAATGGACACTCAATCATAGCAGTAGCTCTATCTTTTGCAATAAGAACTTGTCCCCCATAGTTTATCTCTGGACTGCTCTAGTATACTGAATCTGTAACTTTACATTTCTAATAATATCCAGCATCTTTAGTAAGTTTAGACTTAAAACAAAAATGCTTTGTCAACCTTTAGAAAGCTGATTGGGTGTTTAGACCAAACATTCCTCTTGTATCATCATTGCTCCCTCTCATTTTAGTCTAGTTTCCCCTAGTCTTATATGAATAGAAATTTGGTTATACAGAGCTGTTTGCCTTTCCTATTTTTTTTGCCCATTACAATTTTTAATATTTAATAGCCCTTCTAGTTCTACTTCAAATAAAATACTTTGTATTTTTTACATGTGACCACAAAAATAACGTATTGGCATCCTCCCTTATCCAGTAGACTTTGGCATTCTCAACCTCAGGGTATTTGGAAGTGAGGGAAAAAAAAAAAAACCTGAGCAACAAGGAAAATAGGTTCTGTAAGCTTTATTCTGCAGCAAAAATATTGATCTGTTCTTGAGGAATTGAGTGTTTCACAAAGGGGAGTTCTCCATGTGACTAAAGCTTCAGTTATTCATCATGGACAGTAAGTCAGTGCAGTTTGAAGGTCTTTGTCATTACTGGTGAGCTGGTAAATGTTTGACAGCTAACTCACCAGGAAAAAAAAAAAAGCTTTGATTGTGATGTCTGCATATCTGGGGGGGTGAATACTCCCACTGGCTCATTTCAAGCTACCACAAGACATCACAGAACACAGAACTGGAAGGAGATGACTAATTATCAAACTATAATAGGGTATTTCTACAATATGGATATGCTAGACATAACAAAAACATGGGAAATAGTAAAAATGAGGAAGTGAATTTTGAGTTTTACTGAGATATATATTGGATTTTAACATAATTGTCAGCTTATACAATTTTTAATAATGGCTGTTTAATAGCCTGAAAAATTTCTAAAAATTTTTAAATTGGCACTCATAAGGCAGCATAAGCCAACTCTAGCACTCTGCACAGTTTTGGAAGTCACTTAGGCACTAGCCAATATGAGTTGAGTCCTTCATGCCTTTTTCATATTCCTCCATGTATACGTTACCTTGTTAGGACTTTACTTTTTAAAAATCTTCTAAAGCTGGTGTAAATGCGTAATTTGTATCACATGTAAATAAATACAAACAAAAGGAACTCGATGGGAAAAATAGACGTTTCTTCAAGGAAGAAATATAGACGGCAAAGCAGCACATGAAAACATGCTGAACATCTTTAGTCACTAGGTAAACGCAAATTAAAATGACAGTGAGATATACCACTACATACCTATTAGCATGGCTGATTGAAAAGACTAGTCATAGCAAGTCAGGAGGAATTGGAATTCTCATACACAGCTGGGGAGAATGTAAAATGGTACAACCACCTGGAAAACAGCTTGGTGGTTTCTTAAAATATTAAACATACTTATCAAATGATCCAGCTATTCCAGTCCTAGCTATTTACCTAAAAGAAATGAAAACCTATGTCCATACAAACACTCGTACAAGAGTATTTGTTATAGGGGCGCCTGGGTGGCTTAGTTGGTTGGGCATCTGCCTTCGGTTCAGGTCATGATGCCAGGGTCCTGGGATTGAGCCCCGCGTCAGGTTCCCTGCTCAGCGGGAAGCCTGCTTCTCCCTCTCCCTCTGCTGCTCTTCCTTGCTTGTGCTCTCTCACTCTCTGCCAAATAAATAAATAGGGTCTTTAAAAAAAGAGTATTTGTTATAGACAAAAACTGGAAACAACCAGAATGTCCACTGATAGGTAAATGGATATGGAAATTGCAGCATACCCATACAAAAAATACTACTCAACAATAAAAAAGTAATGAATTATTGAGTGACACACATAGGTAAATCTCAAAATAATTACGCTGAGTAAAAAAAGTCACAGAGGGCATACTGTTTGATTCTACTTAAAATTGTAGAAAATGCAAATTAGTCTATAGGACAGAGAACGTATCAATGGCTTCCTGTGGATAAAGGGGGAGGAGTTAGGGGAACAACAGAAAGGGTTTACAAAGAAGTACAAAGACACTTGTAGTGATGCGTATGTTTATTATCTTGATTTTGGTGATTGTTTCATGGGTATATACATATGTCAAATTACCAAACTGTACACTTGAAATATATGCAATGTATTGTATGTCAATTGTACTTCAATAAAGCCATAAAAAATTTTTTTAAACTGTGGTCTGACCAATGGAGATGTGGAAAAAGCAACTGCTTTGTTCTGGACCACATATTTCCATCTTTCAGAGTAAAACTGTATAGGTTCTTTGGGCAGCCCTAAGCACACTGCTGGTTTATACTGAGATGTCAAGCAACAAATCTCATGTCTTTATCACATGTCTGCTATTAGGCCAGATTCTCTTCATCTGAGTGGCTATCTTTATACTTATCTCTAATATATTTCATATTATTTGTTCTTCACATGACTATTATAATGAGTCTCTGGTATTAATATTCATTAAACCATTAGTTTCTCAGACTCCATTCAGTGAACACTAGGGATACTCACAGAACCATCTGAGGTATCCTGAGTGGGTATGGGATTGGAGATAGAGGGAAAGTGATAAAGATTCTGAATGGGCAAGGCTTTGGCCTCCAACTCAGACAGTTTGTTTTGTAGACTTAAGGACTCTTGGAAAAAAAGTATGAAAATAGATCATCTAAGTTTTCCACAAGCCCACACTCAGAAGCTAATGCACAGTAGTTGCTCAATAAATATCTGCTGAATGAATCTTGATTAAATTTAAAATGCCACTCTCACTTTTTTCTGTACTCCCTCTCATGTGGCATGGGTATATACATACACCATTTGGGTTTCTTGGGATGGGAGTATTAATTTTTGAGAAGTGCTGTTGATTTTACACTACAAAAGTTACCAATTGCAAGGAAGATGGAAGAGTAGAAGGATCCTGGGCTCACCTCCCCCAAGGGACACACCAAGGCTGCAACAACATTTAATGCAAGTCACTCTGAAAACAACCTGAAGACTAGCAGAACAGCTTTTCCACAGCTAGAAATAATAAAGAAAAAGCCACATTCAGAAGGGTAGAAGGGGCAGAGACTCAGTCAGGAACCAAACCCCTGGTACAGCAACCCACAAGCAAGAGGGATATCACAGGAATGGAGGTCCTAAGAAGCAAGGGAATCAAGGCCCACATCAGGCACCTCTGGCTCTGGGCACCTGCACGAAGAAAGGAAACCCCCATAAGATCTGCCTCTGAAAATCAGCGGGGCTTACCTTAACTCCAAGAGAGCCAGAAGGCTATAAGAAACCAAGACTCCACTCAAAGGGCCAGAGCACTGTATCACTTCGTCTGAGATCCAACACAAAGACAGCAGTTTGGAAAAGCACCTGGGTTATACATGAAGGAAATTTACTAATTTTAGGGTGTGCACTGAAGGGTCAGGAAAATGCTCGTGGGCACCATTTTTCTTGCTTCTTTCGGCTTAGCTGGCCAGATGCTTGTGGGAGCCAGTTCTGACACTCTCCATCTGTCCTGATAACACCACTTGCCCTACCCCACATTCCCCTGCAAACCTGTCCAGCCCAATCGGCACCACACCTGGCAAACACTCTGTTTTGTTTTGCTTTTAAGATTTTTATTGGGCTAATCTCTACACCCAACATGAGGCTGGAACTCACAACCCCAAGATCAAGAGTCACATGCCCCACCGACTGAGCCAGCCAGGTGCCCCAGCAGCCTCAGTTTTGACCAGTGTTTCCCCAAAGCAACTTTCACCCCACCACACATGGTGGGCAGCCCCAGCGCAGGGCAGTGCACCTCCAGAGCAACTCCTGCCCCAGGGATGTGGCGGGGGGGTGCTAGCCTCACCCAGCAGCATGCCCACAGCAATTGTAGCTAAGACTCTTAGCCAGCTACACTGGGAGCTAACCCCATCCACCAGCACACCCACTATAGCCAGATCTCTTAGCTAGCTGCACAGGGGTCCAGCCCTGCCCACCAGTATGCCCACAGTAGTTATGGCTAATCACTGCAGCTACCTAGGCTGGAGGCCAGATCTGCCCACCAGTATGCCTGCAGCAGTCATGCCCAGTCACAACAGGAAGGTGCATGCAGCCCAGACAGGAGATACCGCTGGAAGTACCTGGTTCTGGTACTGGTACAGAGGACTGTGATACTGGGCCCCATGGGACACCTTCTACATAAGGCCGTTACTTTAAACATCAGGAGACCAGACCTACCTAATATACAGAAACAACACAGAGTCAGACAAAATCAGGAAACAGAAGAGTATGTTCCAAACAAAAGAACAAGACAAAACCTCAGAAAGAGAACTATGAAAGAGATAAGGAATCTATATGATAAAGAGTACAAGGTAACGGTCATTAAGATGTTAAACCAGATTTGAGAGAAGCATACGAGCTCAGTGAGAACTTCAACAAAGAGAGAGAAAATATAAAAAAGAATCAGAGCTGAAGAATACAACAGCTGAAATAAAAAATACACTAGAGAGAATCAATAGCAGATTAGAGAATGCGGAAGAATGGAGCAGTGATCTGGAAGACAGGGTAATGGAAAGCACCCAAGCCTAATAGTAAAAACAAAAGAAAATAAAAAAACAAATAATAAGGATAGGTTAAGGGACTTCTGGGACAACATCAAGCATACTAACACTCATATTATAGGGGTCCCAGAAGGAGAAGAGAAAAGGGCAGAAAACTTATTTGAGAAAATAGCTAAAAACCTCCATAAATTTAAGGAGATGAAAACAGACATCCTGGTCTAGGCTACACAGAGAGCCCCAAATAAGTGAGCCCAGGCAGTCCACACCAAGACATATAATAATTAAAATATCCAAAATTAAAGATAGAGAATCTTAAAAGCGGCAAGAGCAAATAGTTACATACAAGGGAAACACCATAAGGCTATCACCTAATTTGTCAGCAGAAAGTTTACAAGCCAGAAGGGAGTGGCATGATCTGTTCAAAGTGCTCAAAGGAAAAAATCTACAACCAAGAATACTGGGCAAGGTTATCATTCAGAATTGAAGGAGAGATAAAAAGTTTCCCAGATAAACAAAAGTTAAAGTTCAGCACTGTTAAACCAGCCTTACAAGAAATATTAAAAGGAATTCCATAAGCAAAGATGGAAAGGCCATAACTAGAAAACTTCATAAAAGGAAAAAATTCCACTTGTAAAAGCAAGCACATGGTAATGATAGATCAATTACTTATACTCATCAAGAAAAAAAGAGAAAGAATTGAGCTTGGATGGCTCAGTGGGTTAAGTGTCCAACTCTTGATTTTGACTCAGGTCATGATCTCAGGGTTGTGAGACTGAGCTCTACATCAGGCTCTGTGCTGGGTGTGGAGACTGCTTAAGATTCTCTTTCTCCCTTTCCTTTGCCCTTCCCCCCTCTCTCTAAAAAAATAATATCAGAAACAAAGGAGGAGATGTTACAACTGACACAAAAATACAAAGGATTATGAGATTTGGACAACCTAGAAGAAATAGATAAATTCCTAGAAACATACAAAATCTGGAGACTGAATCAGGAAGAATTAGATCTGAACAGACTGATTACTAGTACCAAAATGGAATCAGTAATCAAAAAACTCCCAACAAACAAGTATAGGACCAGACAGCTTCAGAGGTGAATTCTACCAAACATTCAGAGAACTGATACCTATCCTTCTCAAACTATTCCAAAAAATAGATGAGGAAGGAATGCTTCCAAATTTATTCTGTGAAGCCAGGATTATCTTGATATCAAAACCAAAGACACTATAAAAAAAGAAAATTACATACCAATATCCCTGATGAAAGGAAATGCAAAAGTCCTCAACAAAATTCAGCAAACCAAATTCAACAATATGTTAAAAGGATCATTCACCACAATCAAATGGGATTTATTTTGGTGATGCAAGGATGATTCAACACCTTCAAATCAACCAACATGATACACCACATTAACAAAATGAAGGATAAAAATCGTATGATCATCTCCAAAAATGGAGAAAAAGCCCTACACAAAACTCAACAACTGTTCATTATAAAACCTCTGCACAAAATGGGTTTAGAAAGAATATACTTCAACATAATAAAGGCCATACAGGACAAATCCACAGCTAACATCATACTCAGCAGTGAAAAGCTAAAAGCATTCCTCTAAAATCAGGAACAAGACAAGGATGTCCACTCTCACCATTTTTATTCAACATAGTACTAGCAGTCTTAGCCATAGCAATCAGACAAGAAAAAGAAATAAAAGGCATCCCAATTGGTAAAGAAAAAGTAAAACTTTCACTATTTGCAGATGACACGATACTATATATGGGAAACCCTAAACACTCCACCAAAAAACTATTAGAAGCAATGAATGGATTCAGTAAATTTGCTAAATAAAGAACCAATATACAGAAATCTGTTGCATTTCTATACATTAAGAACAAACTACAAGAAAGAGAAATTAAGAAAACAATCCCATTGACAACTGCATCAAAAAAGAATTACCTAGGAATAAATGTAACCCAAGGAGGCAAAAGAACTATACCCTACAAACTATAAGACATCAGTGAAAGAAACTGGGGAAGACACAAATGAAAGATGTTCTGTGATCATGGACTGGAAGAATATTGTTAAAACTTCCATACTACCCAAAGCAACCTGCAGATTCAATGCAATCCCTATCAAAATACTAATAGCACTTTTAACAGAACTAGAACAAATAATTCTTAATTTTGAGTGTAATGACAAAAGACCTCAAATAGCCAAGAGAAAGAACAAAGCTGGAAGTATTGACAATCCAGATTTCAAACTGTACTACAAAGATATAGTAATCAAAATAGTATGGTACTGGCACAAAAACATACACAGAAATCAATAGAGCAGAATAGAGAGCCCAGAAATAAATCCACACTTACATGGTCAATTATCTACAATAAAGAAGGCAAAAATACACATTGGGGAAAAGACAGTCTCCTCAGTAAATGGTGTTGAGAAAATTGGATAGCTAAATGCAAAAGAACGCAACTAAGACCACTTTCTTACATTATACAAATAAACACAAAATGGATTAAAGACCTAAATGTAAGACCTGAAATCACAAAACTAAAAGAAACCATAGGCAGTAAACTCTTGGACTTAAGCAATATTTTTCTGGATATGTCTCCTCAGGCAAGGGAAACAAGCAAAAATAAACAATTTGTACTACATCGAACTAAAAAGCTTTTGTACAGCAAAGGAAACCACCAATACAACAAAAAGGCAACCTATAGAATGGGAGAAGACATTTATAAATGACATATGTGCTAAGGGGCTAATATCCAAAATATATTTTAAAAACTCATACAACTTAAGATTTTATTTATTTATTTGACAGAGAGAGACACAGCGTGAGAGGGAACACAAGCAGGGAGAACGGGAGAGGGAGAAGCAGGCTTCCTGCCGAGCAGGGAGCCAGATGCGGGGCTCGATCCCAGGACCCTGGGATCATGACCTGAGCCGAAGGCAGACGCTTAACGACTGAGCCACCCAGGTGCCCCAATAATAATACAATTTAAAAATAGAGCACCTGAACAGACATTTTTCCAAAGAAGACATACAGATGGCCAACAGACACATGAAAAGATGCTCAACATCAATAATCATCAGGGAAATGCAAATTAAAACCACAATAAGCTATCACTTCAAAGTGGTCAGAATGGCTAGTATCAAAAGACAAGAAATAATAGGCATTGACAAAGATGTGGAAAAAAGGTAACCCTCATGCTTTCTTGGTGGAAATGTAAACTGGTGTAACAACTATGGAAAACAGTATAGAGATTTCTCCAAAAATTAAAAATAGAAATACCATATGACTCAGTAATTCCACTTCTGGGTATTTACCCAAGAAAATGAAAACACTAATTTGAAAAGATTATGCAACCCTGTATTTATTGTAGCATTACTTATAATAGCCAAGATACAGAAGCAACCTGAGTGTTCATCAACAGATGAATAGATAAAGCACTCCTTCCAATTAAGTTGAAAAAACTGAATATTAATGGTCAACTTTCTACCTCTTCTTAAAATTATCTTCATTTTTACCCATTCTAATCTTATTCCTTCTAGTGTCTGCTGTTTCCCCATTGTTCAAAATCAAATACTCTTATTTTTGACCTACAGTCACATCTTGTGAAGAAAATGACTCCATCTATTCATCTCTGTTCTGTATCTCATCTCTCTCACAATTTCCTCTAGACTATAAATATACTCAAATCTCTCCCATTCTAAAAAAAAATAATAACCCTCCTTTGACCCTGAATTACTCTAAGCTAATTCCCTATCTTCTAACTTCCTATCATGACCAAGCTCTGCATTTTTTCATCTTCCATTCACTCCCCAATGTGCTTAAATTTAAATTCTGTCAACACTACCTCAATAAAATTCTGAGTCATCAGTGACAAAATTTAGTTGACAAGTTTCTAATCCTTAGTATATTTAAATTTCTATACCATTTCACACTTGATATTTTGAGTAGTCAAATAAATTTTGAATAAATAAGAACTGATGGAGGAAAGGAAAAAAGTTGCTCTTAAACTCGAGTACCCAAAGAATTATAAACAGCTGTGGTAGCCAGAATAATGTCTCCCCTTGATCTTCCACCCCCACCAAAGATGTCTTTATCTCAGTCTCTGAAACCCATGAATATATTATGTTACTTAGCAAGGGGGAATTAAGGTTGTGGATGGAATTAAGGTAGCTAATCCTCTGGCCTTCACATGGGTAGATTTTTCTGGATTATCCATGCAGGCCCAATATAATCACAAAGATCCTTATAAATGAAAGGAGGCCGGCATGTGTGTCAGAGTGACGTGATATGAGAAAGACTCAACCAGCCATTTCTGGCTTTGAAGATGGAAGGGGATCATGAGCCATGGTGCTAGCAGCCTCTTAAAGCTGGAAAGGGCAAGAACAGAGATTCTGCCCCAAACCTCCAGAAAGGAACCAATCCTGCTTATACCTTGATTTTAGACCAGTAGGACCATTTCAGACTTCCAAGCTCCAAATATCTAAGATAACTGTTGTCCTATGTCACTGAATTTAAACTAATTTGTTATATCAAGAAAAACCATTTCTAATTTGTTATATCAAAAAAAACCATTTCTAATTTTCCTTTAAAGTACAGTTGAATCTTGTGATTTTTTTTTCTATTGAGTCTGATCTGTTGAGTGGGGGCTTGGAAGTGAGGATAGGAAGGAAACCAGGATCAAATGAGAGTTCTTTATATCACTGCAACTACTCTCTTGCTGACCTTCATACTACCAGCAGCTTGCTTATAATCATATATAAATACTAATGTACTATCACCAGAAATTAAAACCCTTACTAAAACTTAACAGGGTACAGACTTGCTTTAGAAACAAAAGTACAAGGAAAAAAAGAATTGTATTCTTCTTCTGTATTCTGTGAGATTGTATTCTTGCCTAGTTAGCAGGATAGAAAAGAAAGCTTGTTGGTTTCTGTTAGGAAGCAATTGGTAATGGCAGGAGAGAGGAACGTGGGTGAACCAATCTGGCACTAAAAAAGAAAAGAAGGG